AGCCTGTTACAAACCCAGTGTTTTTGATTCACAGCCATATGTATGTATGTATGTATGTATGCATGCATGTACGTATGTACTTACATACATACGTACATACATACGTACATACATACGTACATACATACGTACATACATACATACATACATACACACACACATAAGGTACCCTCATCTCGGGAAACCCCACATCACCCGCTACTGTTGCTAAAATTTCGTGCCGGCTGCCAAGTCCAGCGTTGGGCCCGAGTCCAAGGCCTCCGCAAGGCTTTCCCCAATGCCCTCTGAATGAATCAAAAAGAGAATAGCACAAAGTTGATTCCACTGTTTGGGTTCTTTTGGAAGGGTCTGTTGGTGGGTGAGAAATCCTCCATGAGAACATTTTGCACTTCTGGCGCCTGGGGCTCCTGCTGGGTTGTCCCTTGATCGACTTACTTAGCTACACTACATGGGTGTTATGGGGCCCTCAGTGCAAATATGCCACATGTCGCATCTGCAGCGTATGGGCTTTTTGTTTGGGACCTGAAGATAGGATCCTGCTTTTCTTGCGCAGATCCGGCGAACCTTGCTTTCAGAAAGGTGTGGGGTGAGTTCGGTACAGCTCGCCACTGACTGTATGATAGACTCTATGATTGCATGGTCATCCTGACGCTTATTGAATCTTGGTCACAATGTTCACTTGCAGTCGAACTGACGGCTCCTAGGTAATGAATCGGACCCACTTGCGGGAGACATACGCATCATCACTCGCGAGTAGATGGCGGGTAGCAGAATTCATCTGGGAATTTCCAGTGCAAAGACTCCAGTGCAAGCGCCACGGGATTTTAGAGGCTCGGATTCAGGGCTTCTTGGATCAATGATGTCCGGGATCAATATGGGCGCCATGCAAAAAAAGACGGCTGTGAGCGGTGAACAACTTGCGTAAGTCACCATCAAAGATTCTCCAACACCAGTGCACCATTCCGCGAGCAAAGGACCCTGAAGAGAAGTAGTCTGTGGGGCAGAATTTACTTTGATCACATGTTGGACTTCTAAAACAACTTGCTGGGAATGGCTGCAGTGCCTAGAACCCACTCTTGCAGGCCTTCCGAGGGGTCTGCCTGGCCGGCTGCGCGTGCTCGAGCGCGGGCCTTTTCTTGCATCGCTATTTTTTTTTGAATTTGAAATCACACTTTCCCATGAGTTCTAGCGCAATGCAAGCCTGCATGCACCTATTTAACCCCGCGAACCCAAGCCCAGAACACCGTGCTCGCAGCGTGTGTCAAAGCCAAAGTTGAAAGCCCTGGTCATT